TGCTTCAATCCACACACAAATACAAAACAATCTGACCACACGTACAACTGTTTCACAAACTCTGTAAAGCATGTTTATCAGTACATTACAGAAAATAATGAACTTTATCACAATATGCAAATTTTTTGAGAAGGACCTGTATAGCAACAGCTTGTTTGTTTGCTCATTTTTGTTGAGCTCTTTGAAACATTGCTTTCGAAACTTCAACTTTCTCTTTTAATTCTTGCTCCTCTGCACTAGAGCGAGCTAAACGAGGAAATACCAAGACATCAATTTTATTGAGAAAGTAAAGCATCAGCTGGAAGGTCCGCCGGGCTGTGGAATATGAAAAAAGAACTTGCTTCATAGTATTTTGTATTAAATTGCATATCACATTTAAGTACCTAATAATTAAAGGTGCCCACTTTAAAGACTGCCTATTTTATGACAGGCTGAAAACATATTGTCATATCTTCTACAGGAAAGTTATGCTTTTTTGTTCCTCATCATGAAATGTATTTAATTATTAACATGGATTATTGATATCAGTAATTTATGATTTAATATCGCTCAGCTACTTAACAACTTAAAAACTTTTTTACTTCCTGGTGGTGCACTGACTGCCCACCATAGATCCACACGTCTGATTGGAATTGCAGTTCTTGTTTCATTTTCTTCTCTGTGTCTTTCTGCTGTGGAATATTCCACTGCCTTCCTCTCTGCGCTCTGCCTGCTGGTGTTAATGACTGGTTGCAGAAACGAAACAAAGCAGCAGCCAGTGTGACTCACACCAGGCTCTAGTGGCATAATGTGAAGAGCTCATCTAAGTACATTTCAATATGATGTAAATCAGCAGCTTGCCAACGCAGCTCTGCTCACACAGATGAGCTCTTCTTGCTTGCACAGATGAGCCTGCTGCAGACTAAAAATGGACACTTGATTGGCAAAATAAGAGTTCACAGAGATCAATATCTAATTCTAGCCCTGAAAGATGGTATTCAATGATGACGATGTGTTGTGTGGCCACGGCAGTTTAGTTTATAAAAGTGGCAGCTCCTTATTATGATTCTGAGAACAAGAAACTTTTGAAAAAAGGTTGTATAAAATCTCTTTCCATTTGAAGGTGTTTTTCCATTTGAGGGAGTGCTTTGCATGTGAAACCATTCAGTCATTTTAAGTGACAACTGTGAGAGTGTGACTGTGAAATGTAGCAGCAGCCAGATGCAGTGTCATTGCATTTATTCAAGTGCACTCTTATTCGTCCCTTCTCGCCCATCTTCCTTCTTTCAGTGTAGCAGTTTGAGTTGCCATTACCTCCTAAAATGAAAAGGCTTTCAGTACAGTCTGTACCTGTGCTGCTTATGTCCCTTGCTAGTATCCATGAGCTGACCTCTTGTTCCATCTTTCCCTTGTGCTTCTCAGACCTGATCCAGGCCACCCAAGAAACCAACGTGAACGTCCCCCAGATGGCCGACACGCTGATAGAGAGGGCTGGCAATGCCAGCTGGGTGGTGGTTTTCAAAGCCCTGATCACCACACACCACCTTATGGTGCATGGCAATGAGGTGAGATCACAATACACGCAAACTTAGTTTCCACTTTGAGTCTTTTTGTGGCCATTAATGTGGGTTTAGCCCCCCGCAGACACAACAGAGGCCTGTAGTTGTTCAGGAATAGCCTTGTTTATGTATACAAGGTTTGGTTTTGATCTCATTTCATCCAGCAATATAAAGACATAACAACAGGTAAAATCTGCAACAGTTATGTTTTTCCTTGTGAAAATGTAATCAGAAAAGATGAATCAGTAGTTTTCTTATTTCTGCCAGCCTAGTGAACTGATATTTTCTTTTTTTGTGTGTGTGAATAGTTTTAAACTATCCACTATCCACTGATCCACTCCAGAGAAAAAGATGCACAGTGCATGCAGTACTTTCTGTCAGCTCTATGTCTATAGGCCTCAAGTGGCCAAAATAAATGGAAGTTCAAATCTCTTTAAGGGGAACTGAAAGAGAAAATGGGATTTTACAGGTTTAACACAGATGAAAGTTACAGTCAAGGGAGGAACATTGTGAAAAAAAAACTGCACAGAGGCAGTGAAAATCTTTTTGTCACCGTATATGTTCAGACAGACGAAAAGCTCTGTGAATATGAGGATGAATTGGCTCGGTAAATATAATGTTTGGCTTTTTTGTGCTGTCGAGTCATCCACTATTGTCCATTATTATTGTCATGTGTACATATCTCTGTGAATATCGACAGCCTGCATAAAGTTTAGTTTGTGCTTTTCTTTGTATTTATATGAGGCGGTAGAGCTTGATATGTGTTAGACTTCTACCTGCTCTTGGACTTAATACATTTATTTACACCACCATGAGTTTGTGTATGTCTGACGCCAAAAATCATTGCTGTATTTTGTTTTGTGCTTAATTTTTATTTGTTTGTTGGAAACTATCAGTCAGAGCACTAGCATTTCTTCACCTATGGCCATGGATGTCCCTACTCCTGACCATAAAGAAAGAGAAACAGCAAAACATAGTCCCATTCATTCAATGGCAGTTGTGCTTTAGCCGAGGGACTGGCCTGGCCCTGACCCCCTGACCCAAATGTTGTCCTGATACATAAAGAAAGCGGAATTCTCTGAATGGGGAACTCGTAGAAATAAACAGCAGATGACACAAAGCAGAGAGAGAAATACTGATACACAAATATTCTTCAGAAAAGCAAACACACTGTGGCTAATTGGGAATAAGCCATTACTTTCTCTGCCCTAACGTTTCCTATTAATTATTATGAGGTGGGGGAGTGCATTTCCTGGCAGGAGCTGACAGGAAGCAGATGAGATTTAGCAACAGGAAGATAACAGCATTGACCCTTGCAGTCCCCACAGCAGGTGTCAGAGGAAAGGACAAGTGTAATTGCTTTACCATGGGCCACAATGGGATGCTGTGGCACTGCACATGCATCTTTTAATAACGGATCTCAGTGTGTACATAATGTCACGAGGGGAATTTTTTCTCCATGTTTTTACTCTAATCTGCCTGATGTGGATGTGAATGTGGGCACAAGACTTCTGTATGATTTAATAGTGAAGTTTGCCTTATGGAAGCTAGTTGTTTTGAATAACCAGGTTTAAAAAAAAACAAAAACATAAAATAATAAATAAATAAATCTAAATATTTTTTTTCTAGACTTGGTTAACTTCACATTTTCAGTTATTTTCATTTTGTTTGAGCTTCAACAGATATAATAAGCCCTTTGCAGGCCACAATTGCTGGCCATCTGCAAGCTGCTTTACAACCCACTTCAACCCAGCTCCTCCTTTCATGGTTTCTTTGACTTGATTGATGCCTTATCTGCAGTCATTGATGCCTCCTTTGACTTTCCATGGGAGCACATAAAAAAGAGGGAGATCCGAGAGCAGATACAGCGTACTTTGTTATTTTCATCCAAAGCATTCAATCGTCTTTAAATTATAGTTTCAGGCACAGAAAAGCTCCCCCAAAATCCAAACCAAAACAAAAATCTTTGTTTATTTAAGGACTAGATTATTTGTTTATTTATTTTTTTTGCACATTTACAGCATTTTAGAAAGCCTTAGAAAGCCTTTCTGAGCAGATTTCTCTTTATTACATGAAACTTTATTTCCCAGCGCTCTCCTTGATATTCACACCCTCCCACTCATAAAGCTGCAGCACTGCTCCTTCAATGCAGATTTTCTGTTCAAGAAAATCAAAAAAAGTATAGAGTCACACCTTTTATGTCTATTCTCCACAATGGGTTCAGAGGGCCTTACTGTATCTGTACCGAACAGCTCCTTAGAGATTCAACCATCTGTTTAAAAATGCTAATCAGCTATAGAATTAACAGCGAATATGCCATGTGTTCATTACTGAAGTCTCTTAGGATGATTCGCTAACCTTGTGTGTGCATCTTTTCCTGCAGAGATTCCTCCAGTTCCTGGCATCTAGAAACACCTTGTTCAACCTCAGCAACTTCCTGGACAGAACTGGCTCCCATGGTGCGTGGTGTTCCCTTCCCTCTGTCCAATTTCTGACACACCTGCCCATGTTCCCTAACTTTAAGTAATCCTGGATCCCACCACTAATTGATTTAGCCCATTTCTGCATCTCTATTAGCTCAGTTTAGGATATTTGAAGATACAAAAGCAGAACAAACTTGAATTTTAAAAGCAAGCAGCAGCAACACTTCCAGTAACCCCTGTTCCTTTCAGTCAATTTTGTTCCAGTGAAGTTATTTCTGTCTTTTTGTGATGAATTGTAGGTCCAAAAGCTGTTCTTATGAGCATTTTGCCTGCTAGTTGAACTACATAATGTGGAAAGCAATTTTTAAGACCATTTAAAATCTAAATTAGTTTAACAGGAGGATTATGGTAATCTGGGTTTACTGAGGTAAGCACTGTTATGGTGATTCTACACTGACAAAATCCCCACTAAATGTATCCATTTAAAAGTGGTTTAGGAAGGTTAAGTCAGAAGCTCTGTACTACTCTTTTGGTTAGCTGTCTTTACTTGTAATCAAAATGAGACTAGCTTTCATACTTTTAGTCCTGAACAGAGTAAAGCTCATCAGCTGCTGACACTAGCTCATATTCTTTGTAGTACAAATACAAAGTTTAGCTTTAGATTGAGATAACTCTATATAAAGCTAAAGCTAAGTGCTAAGTTTAGCATAGCATAACTAACAGCACAAGCTTTGTAAAACTAAAACTGGTCATTTGTACACATTTTGTATCATTTTGTTATTTATTAGAGATGAAATATAATTACATAAGAGATAAAAACTTACATGCATCCAATTTCTATAAAACCATAAAAAAATACAAATATTCAACTGCAAATCACATGAAGAGGAAATGGAAAAGTAAATGAACTGATTAAAAAAAAAACGCAAAGTGAAACAAAACAGAACAATTTCAAACCAAATAGTTTTTCCATGTTATGATTTACCCAATATAGGCCCACAGCTTCTCAAGCACACACCCTGCTCCTTGAAATATTTAAGTGCTGGGGTTATGGAGCTAGGTATGCCCCACTTAGATCTTAAATGCCCTTTTAATGTTAGAGCTAATTTTAAGACTTGTTTAACTCTGTATATTGAAATAAGCATTATTTATAGGCCAAGGGGAGACTTGACTTTCCCTGGATCATCTTTATTAAACATTAAATCTGTGACTTGGCTAACCAGGCCACAGTCAGAAGCTTTTATTTAAGTATTTTCCATAGAAGCCTATGCGAGGCCTACTACCTGTCATTAGTTTTAACAAGATACCTCCGCCCTATTATGAGTAGATTTTGAATCATAAGCCCCTTAAGAGATCAGTTGTCCTTTTTTTTGAAACACATATAAATGTGTTTGAAATACATATATATGTTAAATAATGTTGTAATTGCTAAATTTTACAGTCATGCTAACTTTTCCTCGCTGTTTACAGCCATTATGCTAGCCTAGCTAAAATCTCTTAGCTTCACTTTTATAATTTGCATACAGACATGTAGGTTGAATGAAGATTGAAGCGACAGGCATTTAGCTAATTATAGCATAACTGGAAGTGTGTGGAAAAAGCTAGTCTGACTTTGGTGTCATTTTTGATATATACAACCTTTCAACACTTTGCTAATGTCTTTCTTGCACTGGGAGCTGTGCATGTGGATGCTTATGCGTATTTTGTCCTCAGGCCTCGACATGTCCACATTTATCAGACGCTACAGCCGCTATCTCAACGAGAAGGCGTTTGCCTACAGACAGATGTCTTTTGACTTTGGCCGTGTCAAGAAAGGGTGCAGTATCTATTTCTCTTTCTCATATGGCCTTGCTGCATGATTAATTCAGCTCTGTTATTAATTTTTCATCTTTTAACATGCTTTTCTTACCCAAGATCAGAAATATACACTTTATGCAAGTCGCTGTCCATATCAGTCAGAATAGCACATATCCCAAAGCCACAAAGGTCATGTTTATGAGTAGGATTGGCTCCATCACCTCCAGCCTGGCACTGAACCACGTGCATTGCTTTACTGGCATGTAGAGATGAATACAGAGAGGGGTAACACTCATGCTTATGGATGGGACTGCTCTATTTAGCTGGCAGTCACAAGGTCCCTCTAGCTAGATAAACTGGCACTGAGAAATAGACTTCAGAATAAAGACAAAATACAGATGAGACACAGTGGCGGATACTTGTGTGTGACAGGTTCAGAGGCTGGATTCATTTCAGTGGTTAGTAGACCATGTCTTCCCCAATAATCAAGGGAGTGGGGGTTGTTCATAGTAGCTTTCTCCCCAGGCTCTGTTTTACAGAGCTGCTGCTTAAACCTCACAATTTCCATTTCTTTCTGTCTCAGAGCTGAGGGTGTGATGAGGACCATGTCAGTAGAGAAGCTGCTGAAAGGAATGCCTACTCTGCAGAGCCAGATCGACGCACTGCTGGAATTTGATGTGAGTGACACTCGCTAATAGGCGACAATGTCACACTACAAGGCATCCTGACATTGCCCTAGAGATACTGAACGGCTTTAACAAAACTGTGTACTGTAGCAGCATCTATAAAGTAGTGATACATGATATCAGGCCACATTGTTTGGAGTCATAGTTTAGCTTTACGTCTAACATTAGAAGGGTAAAGACCTACAAGATGACAACATGACCGCTACAAAAATGAATGTGGAGGTGCATCCACTCGTACGGAACGAGTAAACCTGACTGTGTGCTGGGTAACTTGCCAGACCATTTTGAAGAAGGATATTAAACTTTTCTCAAGTATACACACTAATTTGACTATGTTAAATGAAGACGCTGATCATAGGAAACATTTTACGAAGATTTTGACTTCAGCTATATTTGTCCCCTCAGGTGCATCCAAAGGATCTCAACAATGGAGTGATAAATGCCTGCTTTCTCCTGCTCTTCAAAGATCTGATCAAGTTATATGCTTGCTATAATGACGGCATCATCAACCTGTTAGGTAAAGAGTCACCCCTGAACTTTACCTTTATTTACGCCACTGTCTTGATGGGTGAGCAGATGGATTTCATTTCTAACATTACTCCTGAAAGAAAAAATGGGTGGCAAATACTTTTTGTCTGTGGAAACGTTTGGATATGTATACTGCAGAGTAATAGGAAAAGCTTTGGGTGAAATTCAGGGGGATAAGGTGTCACATTTCAACCTCTTTTCTTTCTAGAAAAATTTTTTCAAATGAAGAGAAGCCAGTGTAAAGATGGGCTTGAGATCTACAAGCGGTTCCTGACAAGAATGACTCGAGTTTCCGAATTCTTCAAAATTGCTGAGGTAACCTTCTGAGCAGCAGGTGTCACTGATTGGCTGGTAGCTGAAGTACATTCTGGCAGTTGTTGTCTTACCTCTTGCTGTTTTCTTTTAAAGGAAGTGGGAATAGACAAAAATGACATACCTGAGCTTACTAAGGTAAGACTGTCAAATTTGAGTTTTGGGCCATTTTGGGAGATATAATATTCTTTTAGACTACAAGCTAACAGACTAACTAACAGTGGTGTGGTCTTTCTAACTATATTACATGTAATATGAATGTCTAAAGCTACTATTTGTTTTTTCTGCTGTCCACCACAACTGCTCCCACTTGACAACAATCAGAAATTCACAAACAGGAACAACACAACCGCCACACAACCAATAAGCTGTGTTCATTTGTTGATTGACGGTCCCCGTGGCTCCCCTTCTCTTTTTACTTTCAGAGATGCAGATCGATCATTCGGGCTGAGAGTGTGAGTAGTTAGCAGTGCACAGAGCTAGCTTTGGGAGCAAACAGCTTAGGTAGCCATTTAAACTCTCATTGAGTGCACTGAATTGAAGCACACTGCACAGTGAGTGCAGACCCAGCAGACATACACCAGGCGCTCTGACAAAGTGGGATGATGTGACTAGCCAGCTGGATGAAAGCTAGGACATGCTGAGCAATGCTGCTGATCAGGTGGCTGATTTTAGCACAGCTAGTTTTCGTTCAACAACTGTATAAAACAGAGCAGATTGCTATCCTCAGACTGTGCTGCAGTTTCCATGACAGCTATAGAGTCACATGATTAATTTTTCCTAATCTGATTCCTGATGTATTTATAATAAGCAATCCCCAGGATGAGAAACCTAATTTTCCAGCTGTTTCCTGAATCAGTTGCAGTTTTTAAAGCTCTGTTCTGCTGTGGAAACTCTGTGGCTAAGGTTGTTCCTTTCAGACATGGCAGCCTTGCATGAAAAGTGTGCTGTAGTGCTGTCTGAAGCTTGTTAGGTCATTGCTGAGCAAGTTGCAAAAAAACATTTGAACTGAAACAGAATGCCTTTATCTGGAGATACAGGTTGGATGGCTGTGAAATATATCAGCTCACATAAGAGTTAAAAGAAGTTATCGTGTTAGCTTTAACCTCCTGTTTCTGCATTTCAGGTACTGTCTGTTTACATTAAGTTAGCTGAGAATTTCAAAACCAGTGTCATGTCTGTGTGCTAAAAATGAGGCGTTTCTTATTTGCGTCTTCTCATTCCTAGAAACATGGAATTAAATTAGTTTTACTATTTTTAATAAAGACAAAAAAGAGCAGGTTATGTTTTTTCTGGTGAAATATTTAATGGATAGACCAGTATTTAGGCTAAGCTAAATAAGAACTTCCTAGCACTAGCTTCATATTTATCTAAACCTGAAACATCTTACACATGTCAAGCATCAAAAAAAATCTTCTTCATTAAATGTTTCATTGTTGTATTTTCCTCAGGTTTTTCCCTATTAATCTGTACACATTACGTTCTTCTATTGTCCCTCAATTAAAAATAGTCAGTTATTTCTTTTATTTTATTTAATAGAAAAAAAGTGTTATTGTACTTATAAATGTACATCAATTTGTGTGTAATTACGTCTTCCAACAAACTCACAAACGTATAATTAACTCAGGTAAAATACAAAGGAGTGTGCGTCAGTTTGTGCAAGCTGCCATAGTGTCCAGCCATCCTAAATACAGTGGCCGAGATGGACATCGTTGTTCCGCCAAGTCATGTTTTATTTATTTGGCCACATATATTGTATACCAGAGGTGTAGAATAAGAGAACTCATAGGTGTTCATGTAAAGGAAAGAGATGACATGACCGGCATCTGGATAAAATGTGATTCTCTTCAACCTTCAAACCTGGGAACACACGGAAATGTGCATAAACATATTTTTTTTTCCCTGATATTGTTGCAAGTACTGATTGTCGGCAGATTAGAGTTTTAACCCTCCTGTCTCTGGACAGCTGACAAGAGCTGGCTAAACAACAACGACAGTTGGTTATAACTTAACATTGTGCCAACTAATGTTAGGCTCGAGTGTCTTAAAAATCACACTTTCCCTCGAATAAACAGTTTGATTACATTTGCACATCATATGAGATTTTTTTTTGCTAAGTATCCAAGTCCAACAATATTAGATCCACTCGAAATACAATTTTACTAATGTCGGCTAACAGCAGCTGGCAGCAGCTCAGAGAAACTAACACCATCTTACTAACTCATCGACTCCTATCACTAACATGGCAGCTAACAGCAGCTAACAGTGGCTAACAGCAGTGTTCACCAACAGAAAAGTTCAAGATATCCTCAACAACTCACCCCAGTATTGCTGCCATCAGTCAGAATTGAGCTTCTCTGTCTCATCGACTCACATCAGACCCCTTTCACAAAGTTTTATGGCTTCCTCCAGAGCAAATAAGTGTAGAGACGTAGACGCATATTGCCAGCTCAGGTAAACAGCCGAGTGACAGCATACACTTGCTACAGATGATTGACGGCCAGAGTTGTTTTACCTATAGCAGCCACTGTAGGAAGTTTTAGGAACTTAAATTAGGAGGGGTAAGAAAACAGAATTCAGTTGACTGCAATCTGCAATCTACTGGCCTCTAGTGGTAAATTTTACACAATAACTTGTGAAGGAAGTGTGGGAAGCATATAAACATGGTGTTCTAGCAACATCTGGCCCCAACATGGCATGCTGATGTTCTGCCTATAGAGAAACTCTTTATTCTTTGCTTCCTTTGGGTTGGATTTCTTGACTTTTCTGACAATGCCATTTGGATGGTGGCCATATTGTAATATGAGGAAAATCTGATACAGAGTTAAGAGTCCAGACACTGCGACTAACTCATAACAATTTATGACTGTTCTGAGCAGGAGAAAAGAAAACTAAACAAATCTCTTTCTGTTAGTTTGATAAAATAAGCTATAAATATTAAATGGTACTAGATCAGCTATCTAAACTGCCACACTTTCCTTTACCAGCCATTGTTAAAAGCTATCAGCAATAAATTGCCATAACAGTATCACTGATCATTACAGACTAACCTACATACAGTAAATTCATCTCAGAATATTGTGCTAAAATGCAGTTGATGAGTGAGTCTTATAGAGCCCTGAAACCTTTATTTCAGTATTTAATACAGATTTCTATTCTCATCCCTTCTAGGAGGATTTACATCAGCACAAACAAGACAGAATAATTTTAGCATTGACTAACTTGCTGTGTTGTTATGTCATCACTCATGCACACTTTGTGTTGTTTTGTTGTTGTTTTTTTTTGTTAGAGCAGCAAGTAGATGTAGAAATTATCCTTCCAGTGATGGCAGTGTCAGCCATTTCAGATCATATCGTTCATACGTTATCCTGGAAGCTTTTTGCTATCACAGAGATTTGGTTCAGGCTTCCTAAAACGAGAGCCATTATTGCATTTGCTTTGCAATAATGGAGTTAAACAGTTAAAAATGTCCTCTGCACAGAGAACAGTTTGTACTGAGTAGTGAGGACAGACACTTTAAAGTCCCAGGGTGATAATGATCTATCTATTCTTCTCAGTGTCAAGACAAAATTATCTGCCTTGTAAGTCTTCAGTTTTAAAAGGGAGCTATAAATAAACAGACCCAGAAAACTGTGCAGAGAATTAAAGAAAGTGTTATAGGAAGAACAAAAAACCTTTGCTGAGATTCTTAAGAATTTTTCTAAATATCATACTATCCTTTTTACTGCACATCATTAGGTGATTATGTTGAGTTTAGCTTGATTGAGCATGCAGCTCCGCATCGTGGCTGTCATTAGCATGAAGATGCTTCTGTATCTGCTCTATTCTGAATGTGGTGTCCTGGCGCTTGTGTAACAATTATTGTTTATTGTCCATTTCAGTATGTATAATGCTATGGAATTTTTTTTTAGCCTCCCCTTATTTCTTTATCATTTACTTCCAAGAACCCAGTGATTTTTCTTTAGACATTGGCTGCTTTTTTACTCGTTTTCAGTTCAGTCTTTGTACGGGATTTTTGTTTGTTTTAGTTATGTTTTGTTTTTTGTTTAGGCACTTAATACTGCTCCGTGAATCATTCAAGTATATAAAAAAAAATCCAACTTAAGGCATTGAATAGTGGCGTGTCCCCAGAAAGAAACATTTTCAATGATATATTTAGGCATTTTGTTACTAGCAGCTTTTACTAAAACAAAGTTTGTTCTGATTTCTTTAGTTGTATGAAAGCAACATAGTTTGACCAGCATAAGCATTCCTATTTTTACACCAACAAGCTGATTCCCAAAGAGTTATTAGCCAAGAACTTTATATATTATGATATTTTGATACCCCCAGACTTTAATTCACTATGTAATAGCAATGGGAAAGTGTCTGATTGTCAACAGCTTCACTTTTCAGTGTGACAGTGATCCCAAACACACTGCCAATGCAGTAAAACCATACCTGAAAAACAAATAATAAAACACTATCAATCATGGACTGGTCTCCTCAGATTTAGGACCTCAGCATTACTGAAGCAGCGTCAGATCATCTTGAAAGAGAACAGAACAATGAATGAGTGCTTAGATTCCATCAAAGTTGACAACTTCCTCCAACTCCCAGCTCCCCATTGGATTCAGAGTCCACTTCAAGATTCTGGTACTGACTTATAGAGCTCTTCATGGACAAGCTCCTGCCTACATCATTGAACTTCTACAGCCCTAAGTCCCTAGCAGGTCTCGTAGGTCAATCAGGGTCTACTTGTCATTCATCATACAAGGCTGAGAACTAAGGGAGACAGAGCTTTTGCCACTTTTGCTCCCAGACTGTGGAACTCTCTCCCACTGAGCTTAAGATCTCTGGACTCAGTAGCTTCTTTAAAAAAACAATTAAAACACATTGTTTTAAAATTGCATTTTGTTAACTGTTGTCTGTTTTGTTTTATACTTTGTTATCCTTGTGTGAAGCACTTTGTGATCGTTTATCTAGAAAGGTGCTATATAAATGAAGTTTTAATAAAGTTTACTTACTTACAAAAGGCAGCCAACATCCAAAGAACAGCTTTGAATACGCTTCAAGAAACCTGGTGAACTATTGTGGAAGAAGGCATGCATAAATTTGTGTCCACTGTGTGACAGAAGGTCAATTAAAGTACTGTATATCAAAAACCAAAGATCATTTTACAATATTGTGAAGGTTAAAAAAGAAAAGAAAATGGATGTAAAGTCCCAACAGAGAACCAGCACAGAGCAGAGCTGTGTATTTGTGCCTGAATATATTTTATACATTATAAAAAATATATTTTGGATAGCAGCAGTTTTACATTTATTTTTCCTTACTGGTTTGTATGTTTTTATCGTAAGAAATTTCCATTTCTAAAAAAGCAAACAAAAAACAAAACAAAAAGGAGAAGAAGCTAGCACTCCAAAAGAACATGTTTCTTTTATGTATTTAATTAAGTGCTGGACGAAGGAGCCAGTCAGGATATTTTGCAGCCCTAATGTGTTAAAACTCAAGTCACAGTTAAGGCAATGTGCCAGCCTAAGGTTCACTTTGGAGCGGTGCATTCAGAGATGTAGGAAAATGAAAATAGAGTGAGGTGCTCCAACAGTCAGTGATGCTGAGTCAATGTTGATTAGATTAGAGATTAGAGAAAATAAAACTGTGCAGGGAGGACAGTTATCAGAGCATCACGCAGGAATACGAGAAGGCAGAACAGCCATCAGGATATTAGCCAGTCTGCAGCCTATCAGCATATTAGAAAAAAGGCAATTAAGTAATCTCCTCAGCTGCTGTCCTTCTATTTTATAGCCACCATGTTAAAGAGGCATTCGCACAATCCAAATGTGATCCATAAATTTCCCTGTGCACCCTGGTCTGCTCTTATGCCTTTCTGTCTAACTGTACTCAACATGCTGTCTGTGTTTGAGTAATTAGCAGCCCCTCTCTGTGTATTTGTCTGCAGGCCCCCGAAAGCCTTCTGGCATCTCTGGAGACCCACCTCAACACTTTGGAGGGGAAGAAACCGTAAGTAGATCAAACAAAACACCTATTTAGTGGGTTTTTTAACGCTTTACAGCAATGTTTTTTTGCAGGGGTTTTGCTCATCTGTAGTAAAACTCACTAATACTTCTCCAACTTGTCATTTCTTCTTATCTTTACACAACTCAGAGAGGATAAGTAAGTAATCTCTGTCCATAAGAGTGGGACTTGTAAATGTTATTTCACCACCACCATTGTTTCCCGTTATTCATCAGTGTTTTGCCTTATTCAGGTTATAAATTATTTTTATATTATTACTCAGTGATTGAATAGACACAGCGTCTGAATATCCTGCATCTTTCAGAATCATCATTTCATCATCAAATCATTTGGAGCGATGACAGGCCTCGCCTTTTTGCACAAGTCATCACTAACCTAGCACCTTTGTATCATCATGTAGAGTCAGCCCCAACTTTTACAAAGCTTCAGTCACATGTCAGTCATTACTTTTTATGTGTAATGTCAAAATAAAAAAGCTTTGTTCAAGTGGCGCTGGGGCCAAGGAGTTGTAACTCATCAATGCAGCATATATCCATTAATTGAAGATGCTTGCTTAATGGATTTGCTTTGAAATGCTTCCTGCCTGAAAACGACAAAGGGATATTTAAGCCGTCACTTTGCCTCCTGTCTCAGTAGCAGCCATTAACTTCCATTGTGTACAGCGTTAAACTCGTTAACTCATGTGCTATTGTTGTTCTTGCAGGTCGCCCACAAAGGTAAGCTATGCTTCATGATAATCACAATGTAGCTATGATAACAGGACTCTGTATTTATGTGTGACAAAAATACAGTTATTGAGAACTTGAATCAAGGGCTTCACCCTTACCAGTTTTTACTTTAGATGGGTAGTGATTTATTGTTACTCATCTGTTTAGAAAGCTCGTGAATCACATTAGCTTACATGAATATGTTGGTCATCATCTAACGGGGGTTGTCCTCTGTGGCAGGATGCTACCGCTAACAATAGCATGCCAGCAGCAGCAGCACCTGCTGCGCCAGCCAAGCCCGCACCTCCCGCTGCTTCCGGTGGGCCTCCAGCCCGCCCCGTGCCGCCTGCCAAGCCCCCTCCACCCTCTGTCACTCCCACTGCACCAGTCCCCACCACTGCCAGCAAGTAAGAATTACTCATCAATATAACAGATTGTTGTAACTTATCTGCATCGATACCACATTTTAAATGGATTCCTCTGTCAACACACCCTTACTGTCTTTTTCCCCTGTGTTCAGTGCACTTGATGATGGATTCCTCTTGGATCTAGATCCCATGTCCTCCTCATCAGCAGGGGGCACTGCAGCAGCTTCCTCCACAACTGGATGGGGAGGTAAGGTCATCTTGATATACCAAATGAAATGTTTGAAACTCCCGTCATTTTCTGAGTTGAGTACAAGCTGATATTCCCACATTTTTAGACACTGATTGTTGATTTAGCAGCTTTGATTGACTAACATTAGCTAAAATGTTAAAAAAAAAAAGGGACCTTATAAATTAATGCCTACAAAGATATCATGCTAAATGCTGTTAGAGACAGGTCTGACCCCAGAGTAGTCCCACACCCATTCAATCATGCTGCATTTCATTCACCTCGGAAGTTGGATGGCAGAGCTGGGACTGATGTCACTCCCAAGTTGGGTTCATTCAAGTAATAAAAGCAAAGAAAAGTAGGATTTGTTTTGCTTCTTCGGAGGTGGAGGCAGCCATACATAATTAGAAAGCAGCACAATAATAGTTTTTTTTCTTGCACTTTAAATTAGCGGTGCATCAAGTTCATAGATAGAGCTGGGTCAGTGCACTGTATATGGCTTATTTAACCAGTCACAAAGACACAGCAGTGGTGGCACAGATTAGAAGTTTTATTATCGTTTACATGCACTGGGGCCATTTTGGATTATGAAGTCGGGGTTGGCGGGGCTTCCCTAACTTTCTCAGTTGTAAGTAAGGGGATTTTTCAGTTAAAAATGACTGACTGGGAATTTTGGAACTTCTGACTTGTAGTACAACATTAGTCCCAAAGATCAAGTGTTTTAGGGAAATTATGTTCGTCATATCAGATTGCTTGTCCAGTACAGAACAATACAGACTCACATGGCACTGTTTCAAGGCTGTATTTTGAATTCTTAGAATAGTCAGTGTAGCTCCAGATACAATGTTCAAATCAACTGGATTCATCATTTTCAGGCAAAAAGTCAGCATCCCTATAAGCTAATGATCCATGTAGGTAAACAATCAGATCCATGGTATTATAGAGTGTTATGAATTAAACTGTGAGATCAGCTTTTTGTTTCTAACATACTCACCTTATTTGCTTATATATCAGACAGATTAACATCAATCTTTTTCAATGTGAGAAAAACTTACACAGAGGAAAGAAAATTTAGATCAGATCTTCTAGTTATGAATATAGATTTTTTTTTCAATATAGCTTATAATTTTGGAAAGCTAACAAGATAATATATTTTAATTAGTATTTTACTCTTTTAAAGACAAAGATAGAATTTATTAAAAATAGGAAATGGATAGAAGGGAAGATTCAATTAAACTGGAATCTAAACATTACAAAATAAGGAGATCAGAGACATTAACAAAACATAAAAAGCAGTAAATTTATTTTAGCATTAAACACAATTAGTTAGGAAAATCAAGTTTATTGGATGTTATTGCCACTTTGCCCAGTACGTGTTGGCTTCAGATATAACCCTTTGGTACTGCTGTGAGAAGTTTCTGCTAAAAGTTGTAGCTCATGTTAAACCAGACCTCCTGAGGTGTAAACTACTGTGTATCTCTTGTCCTACAGCCTTATGCCCAGCTCTTTAACATGCTGTTAGGTTTAGTTTAACAGACTCACACTGTCACATTATGGTCGCTCAGCTGTGACAGAGCCTTCAGTATTCAGGGGAGAGTTTCTAGTGATATTTAATGACCTTAACTTAATGTACTTCAGTGAAAGAGCACATTTTACACACTTACATCAAGTTCTTCAATAAATCTGTTGTTTTTTTAATGTTTCAGATACTAAACTACTCGCTGACAGCTTTACTTTACATTATTTGCACCATTTTTCAAAGCACACAGTGTGGTGAGGTTCTTGCCAAAATAGAATGAATGAAAACCAAGAAGGAGAAAGAAGAAACTGAACGGAAAAACCTGCCTGTATGCTTTGGCTGGCAGCAGAATCAGTTATTTATAGTTTGCAATAAATGTGCAGAAACAAACATAAAAAAAAAACCCCTCTTTTATTCTTCTTAAACTTTTACTGAAAATCATTGACTTTAACAGAAAGAGAAATGGGACTCTCCTCTTTAACATTGTGAAACTTCTTGTGTTTTTATTTGCAATTTTAACGATTTTTTCCCCACATGTCTGATACCTTAACCATGGCTGTGGTCCAGCCTTAGCCTTTTTAAAGCCTCAGTTATATTAATGACCCTTTCACTCAATTGGATTTGCTTTCGTCCCATCTCTACTTTTCTGGCTTTTCCTGTAAAAGGTTGGAGGCTCTCAAATTAACCAAAAAAAATCATTACTTGGAGCATCTGCATAATTTAAAAGTATATCTCTTTCTTAACTCAGTCATTCACTGTCTCTGACCTCTCTCTCTCTCTTTGTTTTTGTTTGTGCTGTCTTGAAGATCTCTTGGGTAAGTACTCTGTTGACAGCGTCGCCTGCAGTTGCCTGGTCAACTTGTCTCTCAACCTGCAGTTCTGAATTTTCTTTTTTCTTTTTGAACTTTTCACTCACTTTGACGTCTTTGACTCTGCCGTCTTGCTCCTTCTTCCCTATTTTCTCTCCTGCTGTTTCTTCCTCTCTTTTGGGGGTTGTGACTGGGTCGTGGCGTTTGGATTGCGGGGTTTATCTGCGTAGCGACTCCGGCCGCTACCGACGGAGCTTCTGAATCTCTCCTGGCAAAGAAAGAGTCTGCTGAAGCCAATGCTGCGGCTGCTGCTGCCCCCGTGGCTGCCCCGCCCATAGCCCCTGCTCGTTCCACCACTGCTGCGGCTGCGCAGGCGCCCACCTCGCTGCCCATCTCTGCTCCTGCCTCCACCACCTCAGCCACAGACATCGACCTTTTCGGAGGTCAGTGTAGGTGGAGGGTAGGATGCAGATGCGGCCTGCCTGCTTTTCTGCAACAAGCCCATTCATTGTTTAGTTACATAATGATAGATTTCCTTTGTATATATAAAATATAAAATACCAAAATTAAACTGGTATTTTTTCATTCTATAGCTAGAAATGTTTGCTGTTGATGTACAGATGTACTTCATTTTTGGAAAAAATAATGCTTAGTGATGTGACTAAACATGTTTTTACGTCCTGCTTTGTGACTGCCACGCACATACTGTTGTGCTGGCTTAGTGTCCAGCTATCACGCATCATGTTTTTCACTCGGCAGGGGAAAAACCTTTACCATCTCAAATCCGCCCCCCCAAAATTAACCAGTACAGTACAGCATTATTTCATTCCCCTGCCGGAATGTGCAAAATCATGATGCATATATTTGAGATTTGTCAATTTGTGCTTTTTGTTATCGCCCTGAATTATTTTCTTCCTATGAGTTACTAACAGTTTCTTAAATATGCCAAGACAAAAACTGGCTGAGTGCTATTTAATGATAATTTGGCATATTAGTTAATACTAACAAACATTCAGAGTACTACTAAAACACCAAAGAGAAACGACCTTTGTCCATCCCTGACCTTGACATTTCCCCTCTTGTCACAGAGTGCAAGTAACTTGTGACAACATGCCTCATTTCACAAGCCTGCACTGGTGGTGCACTCACTGAATGCAGCATTATGCAGCCCCATCAAAACAAAACTCATCATGTGACTGATGATACAATGAGATCAATCATTGCAGTTACTGGGCTGCATATTTCTTGTATTCTCTGCTTTTTCCTGATGCTGACCTCTCATTTTTCTTCCCTGTCCATTTCATCTGTTTATTCATCTTCTGTTCTATACATCCATGTGTGTGTTGGTGTGTTGGTCCGGGTGTTACGTTTTGTGTTCGCGTTCCGGCTGTTTTTCGTCTGCAATACCCTAGATGCGTTTGCACCTTCCCCAGGAGATGGTCCTGCTGCCGTGGCTGCGGGCCCTGCTGCTGATGCATTTGGTGGATCTGGTGGGTGACAAAACAGCTTTCTGTGCAAACGTGTGTGCATGGAGGTACGAGTGCGTGTGCGAATGTGAAGGCTGTTGCTTTTATTATATTAATAAAGCTGCTTCTGCTTTCATAGAAGACAGTAGAACAAACCTGCCCTCAGGTCCCACTGTCTCACCCCAAATCCTACTCTAATGCCCAAGTCATGGACCCTCTCCTCCTAATATTCATCCAGTGAATACTGCAGTAAAAAGCACAGTACAGCTATTATCTTCTCAGTATTCCAGAAATAAATGTATTTTTTAACACCACTAACCATGACACAACTGGATTATGATGGTTATACTAATCATATTTTATTTTGGTTTTTAATAACTTTCATTCAGCTGTTCTCTTTGGCCTGCAGCAGCTTACATAGCAGAGAAACTGAAGCAACCTACATAATGTCCATTCAATAAGCAAAAATGTTACTTTACATTACAATTACCTCTACTGTAATCACAGAGTATTTAATATTTATGTGTGATTAACCTTAAAAATAACTTTATCCTGCATCCACACTTTATCTTCTGTGTAAAAGGGAAGCGCCAGCTTTTGACAACTTTGTGCATTGGTTAGCTTAGTTTTTCAACAATGAGAAGACTGGAGTGATTCCATGACTTTTTTCCAGTTTTTGCCACAACGTACCCCAGTACTGCTCAAAATACATTAATCGCCAAGCTTAGGTTCTAATGGCTTTGTAAAATACTTAGTAGGATTAAAAATAAAACAAATTTTTTTTTTTCTTACTTTGTCATTGTGTTATGAACCTTGATGTTCACTATAACGCCATCGCTAGGCCAAAATACATCTGCACTTTGTTAGCTTTTCTGAGCTTCAGTTTTTGTTTTAAGTTCATGATTAGCTTAGCATGTTGCCTTGCTAACTTTAAATCATTACTTGCCAAACATTAGCAAGTCACTAGTGTCAGAATGAGCATGTTAGCATTTAGCTTATTTACCAGTGCACTGCCAAAGTTATTTACTTCAAGAATGAAGATCAAGGCCATTTACGTAGATTGATTAAGAAGTACTATATATATATATATATAGTTAACTATTTTGGTAAAGAAGAAGAAAACTTAATACTTAATACTTATACTAAATTGTATACTTCACTAGACCCAGAATTACTTAATGCTAACTAGGCTAATTTTCTAGGTTATTTGCTCCAGGAATGTATTGCTAGGTGTCCTGCTCTTATTGATAAACCAGAAAAAAACAAAAACAACCAACAAACAAAAACTAATGCTAACAAGCAAATGGTTGACTGTGTAGTAGTTCTTTAGTAATAAGTAATATTTAATTCCCCCCCCCCCCTTTTTTTTTTGTCAACCCAAGTTAGAAAGACTTGTCACTGTAGGACAGAAAAAAAACTGTTTAAATTGATTTTTATTAGATACAAGGTATTTATAGCATGTCCTTTCATTCTTATATACTGCTAGCAGTGTTCACAGAGCCGGCTGTTTCCTGGACACATGGATGGTTTGGATTAGGCTTGCATGTTTGAGACAAATTGGGCATCATGGAATTATTCCACTACTAACTATAGTCCATAATTACTGTTTTTTCTTTCTATTGTATTTTCTGCTGAAGTTTGTGGATGGAGCCCTGAAGTTAAAGAGTTTCCATGTATTGTTTTACTTTCTTTGACCCTAACTTGACACTTCTGAGGTATTTAGCCTCACAAAAATGCTTTTTGCAGTTTTTGTCACTTTAACAAATCCTTAATCCCTCCCTTCCTCATCCCCTCTCCACTGACCCATTCCCTTCTTTTCTAATCATTACCCCCTCCCTAACTCCTGAACGCCACCAACCTGCTGCTCTTTGTGAAGACCCCTTCGCTACAACGGAGGGCAGTGCGGACATTGCTCCAGAACTGGACCTGTTTGCTATGAAGCCCACCGACACGGGGGCGGATGCTGCTGCCATTACTCCTCCCACCTCTAGTGATGCGCCGACTATCATCGCTCCCATTGCTGCCCCCACCCCTTCTTCCACTAATACCACCACCACAACTACTACTGCCACAACCACCACCGACACCACCACAGAGTCTGCAGCTGCCCCGACTCTAGATCTCTTTGGTGGTAAAGTCTTCTCGCTCTCATTATGCCTCTCACTGCATTGCCCTGCATTATGACAATGGTGATGATGATGGTATTAATAATTATGATGATTGTGTTGCTCTTGGTATTGATGATGATGATGATGGTGAAAATTACAATAACTTGCCCAGTCCCTACATTCTGATTTGTTTTTATATTTTTCCATGATACCTTTCCTTTAGATTGTTTATAGTCAATCAAGCATTTTGACCTCTTCTGTTAAAAACCCCCCAAAAAACATGAATATAGTGAATTAGAAAAAATCTCCAAAGCCAGTTTTAAAATTGAATATTATTTACTGACCGGGGACCAAAACTTGTACTTATTTGATCTCTGTGGATAAAAGAAAATTTAGTTTTGTGTTTATTAACAGAGGTGGCTCAAATTGTGTTGATTTTTTTAATATTACTAACAGTCTCCCAAACTTGGAGGGAAGAAAAGTGTTTTCTTCTCCTGCTTGTGGCCAGAGTTTTTAGATACTGGTGGATGGGAATGCTGTATTGTAGCTTATGCATCTGAGTTAAAAGGGAATATCGCTACATGTCAGAATTAAAGAACAGAATTTGTCTATGTTTGTTTTTCAGTGTGTGGAAAGGTCTAATACCCCAAAGGCCTTAAGAAGCCCAAATAAGAATTGTTTTTGCTGTATATCTTAGCTAAGCTAGCGATAGTACACTGATTCTGATATTCATGATAAGTATACTTTGGTCATCTGCTGAGCTTTCTCAAACTCAGCAGAGCTGAGCCATTGATTTCTAAGTTTTGTTGAACCTTTAGGTTTTTTAAAATTACCACTGGATTGCTTGTCGTGAATTTTAGTGCACTCATTTTTTAATAAATTATAATAACTCATCTAGTCTCAGCATGAAGGTTAATTAATTTTAGTTAATCTATGACAACTTAGACCTGCCAGGGCACAAGGGACATGGGCCCACCCTCCTGTCGGCCCGCCACCTGCAGGAGATGCCGTAGGGGTCGGGTGCAGTGTGCACTGAGTGGCGATCCGGGGCAGAGACCCTGGCGGACTGATCCCCATCTACTAAGACTAACGACTGGGACATGTAATGTCATCTCTCTGGTGGTGAAGAAGCCTGAGCTAGTGTGAAAGGTTGAGAGGTACCAACTAGATATATTCGGGCTCACCTCAATGCATGGCTTGGGCTCCAGAACCAGTCTCTTGGAAAACGGCTGGACTGTCTAACTCTGGAGTTGCCCTTGGTGAGAGACGGCAGGCTGGGTGGGTATCTTAATATCCCATCTGGTTGCTGCCTGTACATTGGAGTTTTTGAATGAGAGGGTTTGTTCCCTGTGCTTTCGGGTCGGGGAACGAGTCCTGACTGTTGTCTGTGCCTACGCACTGAACGACAGTTCAGAGTACCCGACATTCCTGTAGGAGCTTGATATAGAGGAACGACCTGCCAAATCTGAACCCAACCAGTGTTCTCTTACTGGACTTATGTGTAAACCACAGTCTGTCCATAGCAAAAACCATGTTCGAACATAAGGGTGTCTACAAGTGCATGTGGCACCAGCAGGTCGATGATCAATTATTTAATCGTATCTTCAGATCTGCAGCCATATGTTCTGGATACCTGGGTGAAGAGAGGCACTGGGCTGTCAACTGATTACCACCTGGTGGGGAGTTGGATCAGGTATTGGGGGAGGATGCTGGACAAACGTGGGGTGCCTAAACATATAGTGAGATCTTCAACTCCCTTGACAGCATTGCTTAGACAGCATTTCGAGGTAGACTGGGGACATTGAGTCAGAATGAACCATTTTCAACGCCTCCATTGCTGAAGCAGCTGCACCGATGCGGGCGCAAGGTGGTCGGTGCCTGTCATGGTGGTAACCCCCTAACTAGATGGTTGACACTGGAGGTGAAGGGAACCGTCAGGCTGAAGGAGTCCTATTGTGCTTGGTTAGCCTGTGGGACTTCTGAGGCAGTCGATAGGTACTGACAGGCCAAGCGGAACGTGGCTAAAGCAAAAACTTGGGTGTGTGTAAAGAAGCCATTGAAAAAGAATTTTGGACTAATCATACTCTGTCCAAAATCAACTTGGTAGTTTGTTGCTAATATATCTATATATATATATATATATATATAGATATATATAGATATAGATATATATAATTTGTTTAGCATCAGAAGGGATCAAACACATTTTGTTTTATCCAACAAATGTAGCAAATGTACATAGGTAAATGACAGTCCTCTTCTGAGTTTTTGTTTGTTGCTAATTATTAGCATACTAACATGCTAATATAAAATTAACCGAAGAAGCCAGATATCAGAATATTGTCATGCCAACATTACTGTTTAGCTCAGAATGCCACACAGCTACAAACAGGATTTTCTAAATGAAAGTATGTTTATATATTTTTTATTGGAGGGCAAAGGAAATGCCAGATGTTGAAAACCTCTCCTGATAGTCTTCTTATCTCTTAGCTCTTGAATTTTGAACATGGCAGATTGTAGTGATTATTATATAGAAAATATGTAAGTTTGTCTTCATGCTTAACTTTGGCAATATTTCCCTTTTAACTCTCATTCTGCATTGCACTGAATAGATACACAGCAACTTACCCATTTAATGATCAAAATATCTGCTCTCTCTGCTTTCCCCTCATCTCTCTTCTGAATCCATTTTGTATGCACTGGACTTCGGACTCTGAATGTACATATGATTGTGTGTCCTTGTTCGTAGATATGTTTGATTCTATGCCTGAGCAAAGCCCTACCACTGAATCCAAAGCTGCTACCACTCCTAGCGTAGACCTTTTTGGTGCAGGTACAGGAGTTGATATCCATTTCTCTGTGTATGGAACCTCTTCATCTCCTCTGGTTTCTATATGTCCACTCCTCTGTCAGCTGTTCTTTTTCCTCACCTCTTGGTTTGTCCCCCCATAGTGGTATGTGACAACTGTGCATGCATCCCACTCGTCAATTACCGGATAATCGTTGTGGCTGCTTTCTTTCTATGCTTTATCTTTCTACCTGCCACGCTAATGCTTTTTTTTTTTTGCCCAACCTCCATGGTTTTCTTCTTTCTCGTATTCTGCCTCTTGCTTGCGTTGGTAAATTAGACCTTCCTGCTGTTTCACGCGGGCCCTCTCCTTTGCCTGAGCCGGCTCCGGCTGGAGACATTGTGACGGGTGAGTCAAGCTGCTTTACCTTTACTGCATCACTGTTTCCCTTCCTTTTTTATGAGGGGTGCAGCCAGACAAGTTTTTGCATGGTACTCGGGTCTGCATGCACATGCACATGCAGACCAGACCTCTACTTCCAAAAGGTGCACGCTTCAAGGATGTGGATACACAGTTAAGATGCAGGGATGCTTGCTTCCTCCTTCTGCTTCTTCTTCTCTGCATGTCTGCTTTAGTCTTTTTAGAACAGGCAGGAAAAAAAAACCTACGTGAGCAGAGGAGTCTGTCACTGAAGCAGTGATTAATAAAACTGATTTAATTAAATCTCTTTTTCTATCTCTTCTGTCCAGATTCGTTTTCATCTCCTGCTTCTACCCCTGCCGCTGCCCCGGCTCCTGCTTCTGTTCCTGCGGCAGGGACCTCATCTCCACCTGAAGCAGAGCCAGAGCCTGTCATTGACCTGTTGGGTACTGTACATACAACACCAACTGACAGATATATAAGATTTGTAGAGTTTGTTAGAGTTAATAAAGTGTAAAGCCACTTTATTAATGTCTCAAATACACTCACATTCGGTAAGCATCAGTGTCCTGATACCATAAAGCATATGTAGGCTCACTCAATAGATGTTATTTAAGTACTGACTTGACATCCCACACTGGTATATCACTTCTACAATAAAATGTGACATATAATTGATGTTGATGTACTTTGTGCCTCATATTATTTGACTTTTCCGTATCTTT